GATTGATCTAGTACTGCCGTCAGAGAAAGAAACTCGCTTCCACCGTGGTCTGGATAAAATGCCAAGAACTGATCAGTATTAAGATAAATATCCATTAGCGTATTTGAATGTCTCTCCTGTTGGCAAGACCAAGAGTAGGTGGCACCCATGTGGTGTAGATGTGAGAGCACTTGCTTTCATCTGTCTGGTGGCAAACTTAGGCTGTACCTGCAAGCCTTTTTTTTTTTCTTTTTATTGTAGAAATGATGGCTAACTTTTTTTAATGAAAACAGAGGCTTTTCAGATGCTGCTGCCTCGGTGGAATGCCATTTCTATTTCAGGGTGTGCCCCGGTTGCAGCGAGATGCTGCTTTTTTGGTGCCTTTCTTGTTGGGATGATTCTTTTGGTTTCCAGAACACCCAGTGCGTTTGCTCTAACAGTCCTTCTCCCAGTCCTCTGTCCTGGTGACTCTGCCCTCTCCCAGCCTTGTGACTTGGTGTCTCTCTGTCTGTTACGGTATGGCCTGACCTGCATTTATGCCCTGCAACACCTTGAGTTCTGCTCAGAGCACCCGAGGTACTGTCTTTCTCAAATTGGAATTAATAATTAATATAAAAAGCTTGAAAAAAAAATCTGAATTTTGTTACATAGTGTAATAACTGTTTGTAGATACTGTTCTGAGATGTAGGAATCTATTGGTGATATAAGAGGTTTTGTCTGTAAATAATCAGTTTAGAGTCCAAATGATTTTAATAAAGAGAATCAGAGCACCCGAGGTACTGTCTTTCTCAAATTGGAATTAATAATTAATATAAAAAGCTTGAAAAAAAAATCTGAATTTTGTTACATAGTGTAATAACTGTTTGTAGATACTGTTCTGAGATGTAGGAATCTATTGGTGATATAAGAGGTTTTGTCTGTAAATAATCAGTTTAGAGTCCAAATGATTTTAATAAAGAGAATTCTTACACAATAATTCAATAAATTTTAATATACAACCTGCGAGTCATGCTTGTGTTGCATGATGATGGAATTGCCCAGAATCTACTCACCTGTTTTTTTTCCTCCAAAGTGGATATTGTGTACTCCTGAGCACTGGGAACTGGGAGCCATGCCTGGAGCATGGGGCTCTTCCATCCTGCCCCCTTCTCCCTAGTCCAGGAGATACCGACTGAATTCAAGGTAACCTTGTGCCACCTTCCACTGCCACTCCTATGCCATGGCACTGGCACATCTGCAGTTTGCAGAGCTCAAATACCATCCCTGCCGCAGGAGCGGGGATCTTCCTTTCGTGTCTCCTGCCGCAGGAGGCGAGGGCTGGAGTTGGGGGCACGCCACAGCTCTGGTTGTGGTTTTCTACAGAGGAGGGGGTTGCTTAAGGTACAGTTTATGTTGAGTGCTGTTGTCCACCGGTGTAAGGCAGGAACCAGTGTCCCCAAATTAGCAAAACAATTTTTAAACTAATTGCACAGTTTCCCTGCCATAAAGCTGGCTCCTGGCCCATCTGACTTGTCTTCCTGCCCCCCCTTCCTTTACTAACAGAGTTTTGGCTCCAGTCTGCTTCTCCCCCTCTTACCTACGTAAGGTCGCTGCTTCCGTGCCTCCTTTCTGTGCCTGTGCCTGTTCTTGGTGGCCTTCGCGGGTCACGAACGGCTCATCCCCTGTGCTCAGCACCCCGCCTGGTGCAGCCTCTGCCCCCTCCCTTGTTATTTTTAGTGCCGGGAAGGCAGGTGAGGGGAGAGGGGCACAGGCAGGGAGAACGGCTCCGGGAGGCCCCGACCTGGGTTTGGCAGCCTGGATCTGCAACACAGCTACTGCCTTGGCAGCCTTAACCCTTTGCTTCTGGGGCTGGGGCTCGGCCTCTGTGGTCTCAGCGAGGAAACCTGAGCTGCAGTGGGGAAAGAAAAATTTTAAAAAACAGTGAGATTTTTGTTGTGTGTGGCCCTTTGCTCCTTGGTGTGTGGGTGCTGGGACACCAGGGTTCCACCCTGGTGGAGTGGGACTGCAGGGAGAGTGCTGCTGTCGTGGTCGCCCTCTGTGAAGAGGGAATGTGGGCTGGGTGGTCACCAGGGCTGTGCTGCCATTGCCGTCAGCTGAGGGGCCTCGGGACATGGGTGGACTTGAGCTCGTCCCCTCTGCCAGGCCCAGGCAGGGGACGGTGCCACAGCAGCCAGGCTGGGTCATGAGTCCTGCCAACATGTTGCCGGGAGCAGGGAGAAGTGCCAGGTGGCCCCATGGTTTCTGAGTCCAGGGATGGTGGAGCAGAGGGGAAGGATTTCTCTGTTTCCATCTCCGTAGAGCTGTGAATTTCCCTCTATAAATAGCTGCTGAGGAGCCGCAGCAGGCTGACAGACCTGCTGCCAGGGAAGCCGGGAGAGGCCAGCAGTAAAATGAACCCACCGCAGCTGTCCTAGGTCTCCTGCTATCCCAAAGCCAAGGTTGTTCCCAGAAGCGGTGCTGTGATCCGACACCCTGCCCCGCTCCTCGCCACGTCCATCTAGTGATGCAGAAGAGTTTGGTCTGCTCAAGGACACCCCTCCCAGGGAAGTGCAGACTAAAAGGAGAGCAGCACCAGCTGGTGTCTCACTTTGGGGAGCTCCAGAACGAGCCAGATGACAAAGGGAGCGGCGTGCCCTGCCCGCGAGCTGCTGCACGGTGAGTGTGCGCAGGGCCCCTGGGGCTCGGAGCCCACTGCGCCAACCGGACTGCTTTTACGCTGCATGTTGCGACTTGCAGGGATGCTGCGCTCAGTAAGGGCTTGCCAGGTCTGTGTTCGTGCAGAAGATGAAGGTGTGCGTTGCCCTGGTGAGCTCTGCAACTCCAGAGGTCTAGGCATGACTGGTGGTGGGCAGCTCCTTACGCCGTTCCGTGCAGATCAGGTGGAGTTGCCCAGGCCAGAGGCGAAGCACCAGTCCCTGCCTGTGGCTCTCGCAGACCAGGCAGGACCAGTATGTTTTTAGGCAGAAGTTCTCTGACCTGGTCCAGGCTTGCAGCAAGCCAGTACGTTCTGCGCAACGTAGCTTTGAATGACAAAAGCGAAATAACAGTTCTGATGTAAAGACGCCAAGTGATGAAGGACTTTAAAGCATTGATCGTCCTTTATCACAAAGCTTAGAAAAGTACGTTTCGCTCTTCTATACCAAGTTGCATAGCAACGCTCCTCATCCTTTGCCAGCGCATCCATATAACTAGGGTGGATGGAGGCAAAGTCTCGCACGCCTAAGGACAGACTTGCCTCACCTCTTAGCCAGGACACCAGGGCCCTGTGAGCTGCCCAAAAGCTTCATCAGCCCTAGTGCAAGGGTGCATTTTGTGCCCTGAGTCTGTCTGTGGGTCCTACTTTCCCTCCAAAGTCTCCTATTACCATAAATCCACCTGAGGAAGATGCCATTGGACTCTTATCCCCACATAGTCTTCAGTTTTCCTTTGGCAGGCGAATGGTGAGCAACATCATAAGATCTTTAAAGCTGTTACCCAACTCCTAGATCAGCCTCTGCTGTCCTAACAATGTGGGTGAAGAGGGCTTGGGTAGATTCGGGTGGTGCAGGAGCTTGTGAGGTTACTGATATGCTCAGTCTGTGCACAAATATAATGTAAATGTCATGGTTAGAGGTGTAAAAATATGAGGGGAGGGATTTTGAGCCCTTTTCAGACTGCTGTACAGGCTTGGGTGAACGGAGCATGTCAGCTCTGGCAATTTGGGTTGTCCCTGATAGATCTGGAGTCTCAAGTTCAGTCTGACCCTTAATTAGAATCATGCTGGGAGCTTGCTGGGTGCCCGAAGGCACCTCTGGCTGCTGTGCCGGGAGAGGAGCATCAGCATGTGGAAAGAAACTTTTAGTCTTTTGAGGAAATCATGCCTCTGTCTCAGCACTGGAAGATGTTTTTGTGCCAGAACAACTCCCTGTCAGGTGGGTCCCGCTGCCACCACCACGGCAGCCCACTATAACTGTTTCTGAAAATCCTCTGGTGCAGATAAGCTCTTAGCTTTAGCGACCTGATTTGAAGGATTTAAAGGTCAGTATTTCTACCCCTGCTAATGGTTTCCTGGGATTATTATCACCTGTCATGAGCTCTGGCAACGCGTGTTAACCTGAAGTTTTGGCCGTACAGCAAGTGACATTTCCAAATTATAAAAGGCCAAGTTGGGAGTACCCCAGCTACGGCAGCTTACGTCTATCTGTATTTCCATTAGCAACACGAGTTCTGGGCTGCTATTTCAGGTGACCGGTGCTGAATCCAGTTCTACACAGATGCCGCGGGGCAGGGGGACAGCAGTTGCATCAGTCTGTCCGCACCATCTCGGTGTTTGTACCTTGGGCTGCCATAGTAACTAACCCCGGGAACAGCCTCCCCCTCCATCACAGCCTCTTGCTGGGTGTCACGGGACGGTCAGCAATAACCCATGCTCCGGGGCTGGGCTGTGCACAGATGTGCAGCGCTGCAGTGTCTAAAACGCAGGTTCTGCTTCACACCCATCTGGAGCGTGAGGCTCCTCCTGCCACCAAAAGCCCAGACGTGTCCCCTCCGCAGCTGGGATGGGGATGGGGAGTGGGTGCTTTCCCCAGCTGCGGCCACAGGAGGGGATCCCACAGTCCCCACTAAGCCCCTGAAAATCCATACTGGGCACAGGGAAACCTGAGACTCCCACCTGGCTCTGGATCTGGCCCTGGCTCTGGCCCGGCCACACACCGCCAGGATCCCTGCCCGGCCCCAGCCTGCCAGCTTTCCTCTTCTGAACTCTTAAAATAATCCCTGCCTCTGTGAAGTGCCAAAAACGTTTGTAACAGCCCAGCTCCAGGGGCTGCTGAAGCGGATGGGAAGGAAGGGGGCGAGGGGAGAGCAGGGGTAGGAGAGGGAATCAATATGCACAGCATGCAGCAGAGGTATGGCTGCCCTGCAGCTCTCCATCTCTCTTTAAAGGAGTAAAGTGCTGAAGAGCACACCACCTGTGCCCCACAACCACCCAGTTCCCCACTGCCTCCGTCCACTTGTGCCAGGATCTGCTGTGCCGCTGGGCCATGGAGGAGCGGGTGCAGGAGGAGATGCCAGCAGACCAGCACACAGGTCAGTCCCGAGATCGTGCCAGGCTCTTCCCAGGCCAGAAGAGCCCACCGGGACCTGTCTGGTCATTTCTCTGAGAGGACGGCTGTTCTCAGCTGCTCTTTCAGTCTAAGAGCATTTAGAGATGTCAGTAATGTCTCTTGGCCATGGTCCCGCAGGAGGCCACCACCCTGCACGGGAAGGAGAGGTGTTCAACACGCGGTACCAGGCTCTGTGCAAGCTGGGCTGCGGTGCCTTTGCCACCGTCTGGCTGTGCCAGGACATGAGGTGAGGGGCTGACCATTTTTCGGGGAGGTGGGAAGGGGTGGCTGATCTCTTGGGCAGGACCAGCCCCTCTTGCAGAAGCGGCAGAGTGCAGCCGCCTGACCAGGAGTGTATCAGCATCGCTGGAGCACAGGGCAAACCTGGCAGCGAGATTGGTGGGGTGCGATGAGCAGAGCTGGTCCCTGGAAACCAAAGAACATACATGAGGTGGGATCAGCCCTTGCTCCTTGTTTGCTCCTCTCATTTAGACCCTGCAGTGTCCATCCTCTACCTTTTTATCTCCAGTTTTTTGCTGGTCCCAGGGCAGCTGTGCTGCCAGACGCCAGCAGCGTGGCCAGAAGGGATGCCCAGGGGCCTGGCCGGCTGCAGACCAAGGGCGAGGCTGCTTGTAGGAGGGCAGCACCCTCCCCGTGGAGCCCGGGGCTGGGTGACCAGGAGAAGGAGAGGTGCTGCTGGTTAGGGAAGCTCTGGCATGTGTTGGCTGGCAGCTGTGATTCATTTCCCAGGAGGAAGAAACAGGTAGCTGTGAAGGTCCTGAAAAGCAGGGAAGGCTTCATTGAGGCTGCCCAGGACGAGGTCGCTCTCCTCCGCTGTGTACGTATATTCTGGGGCTCCGTGCTTTGCTTTGAGGGGATGGCCACTGAGTTCAGGTCAGAGTAACAGCCTCACCGTCCCTTCTCCCTCCAGGTCTCAGTACGAGGAGCTAAGTGGGGAACAGGAAAAAAAAAACAGAGTTAGAGAATTCATAGAAATCACCCTGGCTCAGCACTGGTCTCTGAAACAGGCAGCTCCTCCTTCCTCCCGTCATACTGGGACATGCTGGCTGTGTCCCACTTGTCCTGTCAGCTCATTTCCTTCAACTGAGACCAAAATCCAGTAAACAGGAGGAACCTGCAGAAAGATAAGGTAGATAATCAAAAGAAAAAGGTGGTAATGTTCTTTAGCAGGAGATGGAAGTGTGTCCGCTGTATTTGTGCCGTTCCCAGCTCAGAGGGCATTGCTCTATCGCAAGACTGATATTGAAGTAAAAGGAAATATCTCAAAAAAAAAAAAAGGCAGGCTGTTGCAAATGTATGGAAAATGTCTGAAGTTAGAAAGCTTCCTCTGGCCTTTGCGAATGGATGTGGTGATCAGGTGCCTGTATCTGGGTCTCAGCCAGTTGCCTTTGAAGGTGGCTTGACCTACTTGTTCTAGAAAGCTCATGGTCACAATTCTTCAAGTTTGTCTAAATACAAAGTTACATCAGCTTTAGATGAGTAAAAGCCATGAAATTTTGCATTTCCAATTACTCCAGCAGGTCTGAGAAAGGTTTAGTTTGCACCTGTAAATCTGTAGGCCCTATCTAAAGGAACATGAGTCAGACTTCTTGATGCAAGAGGAAGTACCAAGTGGCTCTCATTTAATGTAATCAGAGGGTTGCTGCTTTTCCACGCATCAGCACAATCCTGCGTAGAGACTGAGCCTTACTCTTAATTTATTGCTAATTCTCTCTGAAAGACACGCCTTCCATTCAGCAGAACACAGCTGGTTCCCAGGGCTGTTCCCGCCGGCACAGAGCAGTCGGTGCCAGGAGAGGTGATCTGGTGTCCTCTGCTGCAGCGGCTGCTCACCTCTGTCATGCCAGCACAAACCTCCTGGCACCGGTGCAGGCGGATCCGGCAGCTGCGTGACGTGCCAAACCAACAGTTCAGGCTGTGAAGAGAATAAAAAGTATGGATTGCTGTACCGGGATCAGCGCTCTGCGGGAGCAAACTCCCGATACATCTTTGCCATGCAGGTGTACAGGGCTGGTGCTGGGGGTACTGTAGCACCCATGCTTGGGCAGACTGAGGGTTCACCCAGCCCAGCACCCTGGGCCAGCAGCAGGTATCCAGATGGGTGCACAGACAAACTAAGCACTGAGTCCTGTTCCCACTGAATGCTCTCCTGCTCTACAACAGTTTCCAGCTGGAGATTTCTTGGGCCAAGGGCGATGTCTGCATGGGCAGTAATTCTCAATGGCTTTACCTTCAAGAGACCTGTGGGCTTCAGCATCTGCAGCCCTCTGTGACAAGAATTGCCACCGATTACCCATGTGCTACACGAAGACCCTTTTGCTCTGCTTTGGTTTTGAACCTCCCAAGTGCTAGGTTTCATGGCCCCTGGTTCTTGTACAAAAGATCTGTGTTCGTCCCCTCCACCACCACTCTGTATCTGATAGATCTCTGCAGTACTCGGCCATAGCCAACCGCTTTTCAGCCCAAAGAGACCTACTACGCTGGGCTCCTCCAGACATGGAAGCTGCTCTCTACCCTGATGGGACAGGTAGCCTTCAAGTGGCCAAAGACAACTAGAAGGTCTCCGCCTCTTTGCAATCCCTTGCAAGAAATTGCCAAAGAGAAGGTGTGGGTTTTAAAAGGTGATGTCCCAGTCTGCTACTCTCAGCCAGGGAGGGACAGGGACATCTCTGCTCTGAGGACAAGGAGCAGAGGCTGCGGAAGGGAAAAGGAAATGGACAGCCATTGCTGCTGGGAGCAGGGAGCTGTGGTCTTGGGGGAATCCCCTTCCAGCACAAGCAGGAGCACTTTCTGGGACTGCATGGGGTAGAATGAGCAGTGGGAAGTATGTCAGACACTATTAGCAGGATGGATTTGAGTTATTCAGGCACTGTGAGGGTGATGGTCCCACCTGGTCAAGAGCTAGACAACATACAGAAACTCATTCCTTGGTAACAAACTCTGCTTGTGTGTTTGAAGCCTTGTTTTCCTGATGCTGTTTTCATGGGATTTGTTATGAAGTGCCAGCTCCTGGAAGAGAAAGTCTGTAGAACGGGACAAAACAGGTTCAACATGTCCTTGTGCATATATGTCTCTAATTGCTGCTTTCTTGGAATCCTTCCCCTCAGGTGAGCAGTATGAAGAAGAAGGACCGGGCAGGAGAAAACATTGTCTGTTTGTTAGACGACTTCAGAATGATTGGAGAGAACGGCTTCCATATCCTTCTGCTAGAGTGCTGCAGCTCTGGCTCAGCAAAGCCCAGGCTTCCCTCGGAGAGCCACAGGAGGGTATAAAACCGAGCACTGTGCTCCCATGAGGAGGACGAGCAGGGCAGTAGCTGGACCGGGGCACACAGAGGTGGCTGGAGGGGAGAGGTCAGATAAGGAGATACTTGGCTGCTCTGGTGAAGGGCAAAAGGCTGGCGGTGGCATCTTCTCGCTGTTAGC